CTAAATCCACAGCCCCTCCCACAACTCCCCAGCTGTTGGTTAGGGCAGAGGGCCATTAAGTGAAGTCGAACTGTCCGGGGCCATGGGTGACCTCAAGGGGTGAAGTGGCAGCAGTTGGAGCTCTACATTTCCAACAGTGAAAAGAGAGCAGGGATTATTTCCCTGGTGCTGAACAGGCACATACAGTCCCTAGGTGTTGTTCCAGCCCTGGATATAGGGTGGCAGGGACAGGCAGGGACATCCCCAATCTGACCTCCTGCTCAGAGCAGGGAGTAACAAATACAACATCATATTTGCTATGGCTTTGTACTTCAGATCCCCAGGTCTGGAGATCCCTGCCCTGAGCTGCACAGAAATTCTTCTTGCTGAGCATCTTCAGCCTGCCAAGCTGTAGCAAACAGCCCTCATCCCTCAGAACACAGTCTGCCAGCAGCTCCAGGACGGATCTCTTGAGTTTTGCACACAGCCAAGACCCCTGTTTAATTCTGGGAAGTCCCATGTGTGTCTCAGACACAAAGTCTGTTGGCTGTAGCACCAGGTTAATGACCTGCATGAGGCTCCAGATCATCCATCCTTTGTTCCTTGGTCTCTAAGGCCCACCATGGTCCCTTGGGGGTCACAATGCTGCCCTCCTCTACAATGCTGCTGGGAGACAGCTGATGGGAGAGGCAACACTGGAACTGTGAGTGTAGTGTGGGTATGGAAGGAAAAGAGCAGCCTTTCCTGGCCCTACCACCCAGTGCTTGTTAAAGTCATCTCAGATCCATCATTCTCGCTTCTCCCTTTCCCATCAGGACTCTGAATTCCATCAGACACACACAGTTTGGGATGAGGCTTTGGTGGACACTGGGACTCATTCAGCGTACCACAGTGACTTCATCTCTGTTGTGATCCCAAGCTCTGCTTGGAGCTGTACCAGAAGGGATTCCCACAGCGCCAAAAGGGAATGCCATCTCTACCCATTAGAGCAGTAGGGCTCCTCCAGCAGGAAACTCTCCAAGTTTGATTTTTATCTTCAGTTTTACAGCCGTTTCAGTCAAACAGGTAAACCAAGCACGTCATGGAAACAGCTTCTGGCAGGGGAAAGGTCCTGCAGCACTGGTTCACACTCCCCCGGGAACACTCCCTGGCTCCAACACAGGACCATGAGGCACTACAGGTCATCCTTTCCTTGTGACAGTCTCAGGGAAAGAGGGACAGGCTTTGGCCTTTGTCTCCTCTAGCTGCAAAACACAGGGAGGACAAGAAGCATGAAACGCCCCCGGAGGCAGGCGCTGCAGGAGATACAGTCTGTGCTGCACGCCTAGTATTGGGTGTGTGAGAGATACAAAAAACCAAGCTTTTTTGTGGCAACACACCATTAAGAATGGAAGTGACACCCAATGCTCCTCTAATACACCTGTCCTTTCGGCTTTCTCCAGCTCCTCTGCCAGCTGGGATGAGGCCATGAGTCACCACACAGTGCCTGGTCCAGCCCTGCCCCTCCTCCACACCCCACCCAACCTGGCACCACTTGCCAAGGCCCAAAGCAACGTGACAGCTGATTTCCACCAGCTTCCTCCAAGGTCCTTTTAAAATTCTCTACTATCTCTCCCTGGCAGAACTCCAGGTCTTTCCAGGCTCGCTTCTGCAGATGGGTCCTTTATTGCTTTACCTACCTATGGACTTGGATCAGACGTGCATGGTATGGCACAACCTGCTGGCACGGGGAGCATACAGGTGATGCAGGGATAGCATCACCTTTATAGAGGCACATCCTGCCCCATCAGCACTGGGAGATGATCCATGTACTTCTCAAAGGTGCTTTTGCCATTGTGAAACCTGCCCACACCAACAAAACGAGTGTGTGCATGGGGCTGTCACTCTTCCATGATGAAAACCATTAAATTAAATTAAAAGTGGGGCAGGAGCCTTGCTTGTGTCAGCTCCTCGGCATCCTGGAGCTTGGCACATGACGGCCTTTCCGGTGGGAGCAGCCAGCCTGGCAAACAGGCTGAACAGCCCCAGCCCGCTGCCGGCAGGTTGGGGCAGCGCTGGCAGCTCCAGGAAGGAGGTAACCCAGGGATGAACTCACCACCACTCAGTCACCTCACCAGGGCACCCTTCAAAGGGAAGCCCTGCAGGCAGAAAGGCTCAAGACGGAAGGACGTCATTCCAACATGTGCTGCTTGGGACACCTCATCTTCCTGGGAAAACACCCTTCTCCCAGCCCTCCTGGCAGGCGAGTCTCTGGAAAGTGGCCAGCTGTGGTGCAGAGCCATGCCTAATGTGCTTAAACCCCTCGTTTGCCTTCACCAACCCTTGTAAAGCCCTTTCCAAGCCCCCAGGGTGTAAGGAATAGATGAAGCCTACTCCTGGCAAGGCCTAGGGTGGGCCCCTTTGCAAAGAAGTAGTATAGCTTGTGCAGTAAGTCTGCCCCATCCCCAACCCTCCCAAGCCTCTGGAAGTTTTTCCAGATGCTCTCCAAACCACCACAGCTTGTGTTACTGTGCCCAGCAAATGGCCATGGTTGAGGTTCTGCCCCATGGGAAGAGCAATGGGAGCAGCCTCACCCCGTCAGACTGCTAAAAGGGGCTTTTATGTCCTGCTCCTTAATCCTGCTTCTGGAGTGAGAACATGTTTCAAAAATCAGGGGAGGTTGCTAAGGGACAGTGTGCTCAGCAGGGACATCACTCACAAACCCTCAGCACTCAAAAGCAGGAGGTAAATAACTTGGGATATTATTAATCCTTCACTGCCCACACAATAAACAGAAAAGTATTATTCTTGTCAAGGACAAAGGAGCCCATATTTCCCCCCAGCCAAGGAGCTGAACCAGCAAATTTTTTTGATTGAGCTCCACAGTGGGTTCAGCTTTGACTGATGTTGTTCCAGTTGAATTCCTGTTCAGGCCAATAAAGGTTCATTAACCATTTTTTAACTGTGAACTCATTTCAGCCAGTTCACACTGGAAACCACAGGCTGTGGAAGCAGCTGTGTGATGGGGACTGAACCTTTTTCAGCCCATCCCTGGTTGCCATGGCCTCTGCCACCTTCCTGGTTGGACTCCAGAGCTTCTTGCAAGCTCAGCAGAGATGACATGCAGGTCAAAAGGCAGAAAAGCTAAGTTTTGCCCTGGAAGTCTGTAGGAAACCTGCACTGTCAAGGACAAGTAGGCATATGGGGAAACTGAGCTTCCTGGGCTCTTCCTGACACCAGCACCTGCACACGTGAAGTTTGAGGCAGCAGCTCCTAAGTTACCAGGAACACTGGGGAATGGCATGCTCCTATCATTACACTCAGAAATTAGAATGTTCCGTACATTAAATACCCTTTACAAGCTGAGTCTGGGGACAGCCAGGGGTTATTTAGCAAGAAATCTCTTAGAGCAGCAATCTGAGGCCCCAGGAGGAGATGAGGTCCTGTGCTGGCAGCTGCTCCACGGCCACATAGCTGTCCAAAGGACACTGAGCTGCCATTTCTCCCTGCGGAGAGGCACGTGCAGGGCACGGCTGTCAGAGGACCGTCTGTCCTGCTCACAGCTATTCCCAGACAGCACCAGAACAGCTTTATCCATGACAGCACCTCCGAAAATAATGCCTCAGGATCAGCAGCAAGGCAAGGGGTGTGTTGGGACTCGGCAGCCAGTGCACTGCAGGTTCACATCCAGCTCACAGCATGCTAACACTGTCAGAAGACAAGATCTTGGTTATATTTATCATTTGATGGTACTGGTCACCACTATCTTTAGAGTGGTGTTGCAGCTGCAGCTCTCTGAGGAGTGAGGTGAGTCAGTGGGGGGACTGATCTTTACTGAACCTCACCCAAAATTTATGAAGTCAAGGCATCTCTTCCCTGACCTGAATGGCCCATGGTCAGGCTGGTGAGCCGTGGGCTGCTTCCCCTCGGGGCAGTGCATCCTGCCGGCATCCCCAGAGGCGGGTGGCAGTGCCCAGGTGCCCCACGGCTGCTGGGTGTTTCAGTATCTCTGAGCATCCATATCCCGGGGGGCAGCTGCCCCCTCGGCTCTGGCACCCACGGTGGGCTCTGACACAGGCTGGCACAGCCCAGCAGTATGGATGGATGGCAGACCCAGCCTGCGGGGCACCGGCACCACCTGGGGAGCAGGGAACACCGGGGTCACCCCACTCGGGACGTGAGGCAAGGGACACTGTGGGGGTCTCACCTTGGGGAGGCCATAGCCATGGGGCCAGGGAGGGCTGTCTCTGGGGCTGGCACATGTCGCACACGTGGGGCTTGGCAAAGGGTGACTGTGGGGTTGGGACACGCTGTGCCCGTGAGTGTGTGCGCGGGTGGGACACACCGTGGAGCACGGGACGTGTTAGGGATGAGACTGTGGCTGCCTGTGGGTGGGACGGCGGCTGCCCGTGGGGTGGGACCCACTGTTCCCGTGGGGCTGTGTCCGTGGGTGGGACATGTCGTGCCCGTGGGGTTGTGCCCGTGGGTGAGACACGCCGTGTCTCTGGGTGGGACATGCCGTGCCCGTGGGGTTGTGCCCGTGGGTGAGACACGCCGTGTCTCTGGGTGGGACATGCCGTGCCCGTGGGGCCGTGGGTGGGCCGGGCCGTGCCCGTGGGTGGGCCATGCCACCACTGTGGAGCCGTAGCCGTCGGTGGGATATGCCTGTGGGGCCGTGGCCTTGGGGTGGGACATTCCGTGGCCGTGGCCGTGCCATGCCGTGGCCGTGGGGCCGTGTCCCAGCCCCGCCGCGGGCCGTGCGTCCCCCCTCAGCCCACAGGGTCAGGGGCAGCAGTCCCGCCCCGCGCCGAGACAGGCCCCGCCCATGCCGCCGCTTCCTGCCAATGAGACGCCACCCCGCCTGGGCCCGCCCCTTCCCCGCTGTCATCACACACCCGCACGTGGAGGGGGCGGGCCATAGGCGGGGTCTCGGCGCGGTGCTTCACCGCCCATTGGTCGCGCGGCTCAGCGGCTCGCCCCGCCCCGCGCCCTGCCCCGCCCAGAACACCAATCAGCGCGCGGGAGGCGGGCGCGGGGGGCGTGTTCCCAGCGACACCCGGAAGGAGCGGAGGAGCCGCGCACAGTCGGGGCCGCGGCGGCAGCGGCGGAGGGGGCGCTGGTGGGTCCGGCGGGGCCGCGACGGGCAGGGCCGGGGGGCGCGGGGCACTCCTGGGCTCCGGCGGGGACGGACCGCCTGTGCGGCGTGCGAGGGGGTTCGTGCGCCCCATCTCCGCCGCCATCCCCCCGTTCCAGAAGGTTCGGGAGGGCCGTTGGGACCGGGGGCCCAGACCGCAGGGGCGAGCGGGAGCTGGGGGAGGCGCAACCAGGAGGGGCCGTGATCGGGTAGTGTGGGGGAGGCCGTAAACGGAATGGGGGACTATGAGCACGGGGGGACCATGACCGAGATGGGGGTCTCTGAGCTGGGGACATCATGACCGCGATGGGGGTCTGTGAGTCTGGGGGACTGTGACCGAGGTGGGGAGCTGTAGCCGGGACACTTGGGCCGGCAAGGGGCCTGGCACCGGCGGAAGCTGTGGCAGGAGGTGCCGGGGCGGGCAGGCAGCGGTGTCACCGTAGAGCGACTTTGGGGCGGGGGGTGGGGTGGTGGTGCCCGGGGGGACTGGAGCTTCGGCAGGGCTGTGTCTGGCGGAGGCAGGTGTGGGGGGACGTGGGAGGGACCGAAACAGGGCGCAGGCTTTGCTGCGGGGTGTCCCCGATCCTGGCTCCCAGTTCCCCGGCAGCTTAGGGAGGCTGCGCTGCCCCTGGTCTCGCCCACCAGGGCCACGTCCTCTGCGCTGTGACATGGGCAGGGACAGCCTGTCTGCAGCCCTGCTCGCACGGTGGGGCCTCCTCCTTCTCCTCCTCCTCTTCTTCCTCCCGCGGGCATCAGCTCCAGCCCAGCTGGGACGCGGTGGGTTGCCCTCGGAAGGGCCCGCGGCGGTGGGGCCGGGTTCCCGGGGGCGCGGGAGGCGCGCCTGGGGCAGCACCTGCCCCGGGGGTCCCTTCCCGGGCCCGGCGCGGGGCTGCGGGGTGGGCGCCGGGGCGGATGTGAACCCCGGCATCCGCCGCCCTCTGGTGACAGCCAGCCGCGGGCGGAAGGGCCCGTCGGGGGCAGTCACCCACCCGAAATCAGCAGCTGCCGACCTAGCGAGGTTTTCAGGCGTTTTGCGGGTTTTATACAGAAATCGCGCAGGCGGCGTGCGCTCGGCAGCCCGGGTGTCGTGTTTGGAAAGGTGGCCTGTTAGGGAAGTCAGAGGGAATGGCTGCGTGATGGGTGCTAGGGAGGTGAGCTTGCTCACAACCCACCCGTGAACATAATCCGTCAGTACGATGGTCACACACCTCCAGGGTTTCCTCACTCCTTTTATTATTTGTCTTTGAAAGAAGGAGTGTGGAATTTGCAGCTGCTGTGGAAAATGTATGGTAGAGGAATGTTGTGCTCTAAATTTAAATTTTAAAAGTAATTTCCACTAATTGCATTTTTAAAAACATCAGACAAGCAGAGATCTGCTTACAGACCTGCCTTCTCCCTGAATCGTGTCTGTTGGCATCAGCAAAGAGGGGAGGTTGGGAAATTCTGGAGAGTGTAGCAGGCTTGAACCCTGACACAAAGCAGTGTCTTGGCAAGCTTGGTAGCACGAGGAGGTGAACAAGGTCCGGCAGGTGACACAGAAGAAAACTCCCAATGTGATAGTGCTAGAGTTACTTCTGGCAGGGCTGGGCTTTAGGTTGAGAACGGGGAGAATGAAGTCATCCTGTAAAGCCTGGTCACCGCCTTGTTTCACAGCAGCAATTCCCATGGTTCGGGTCTCAGCGTGAGCGAGTGGCGGGGCGCTGATGGGGACTCTGCGTGTCCCAGCGTGCAGTCCCTGCACTAGGGCAGGGCACTGGTGGGAGTTGGCAGGGCTGAGGGGTTCGGATGGGGTTGGTTCCGAGGAACACTGCTGCCACAGTGTTTGTTGCCAGGGAGTCAATGCTTGCCCTCGCCTGACCTCCAGCCCCTGCTCCCATAACATTTAACCATAACACTGGATTGCTGCTGACTCCAGTGAGGCCTGGACATGTCCCTTCCCACGGAGCCATGGGTGGTCAGGACAGCAGAGCCCTGCTGTCACCACAGCTGATCAGCTGTGGCCCTTGGTGAGCTGGACTTGTGGACCAAGGTCCAGCCACAGTTGGAGCAGTGCTGGAGCTGTTTCAGCTGTGCCACTCACCCGCCTTGTTTCTGTTCCCCATGTGAGAGGTTTCTTACCCACTGAAAGAGGGAAAGCTGGTGGGGTCACTCTGAACTGTGGGAACTCTGCTGTTCAGAGGCACAGCTTGCTGAGGAGCTCTCTTGCTTCCCTGCTTTTGCAGCAAGTTGTGCAGAGCAGCTCTCCATGCTGTTTTTCATGTCTGCCCTCTCCAGAAGTGGCCTTTAGTGAATTACAGATAATTTAAATTTTACTGGTAGGACTGCTCTTTCACTCCAAATCAGGTGAAGGCTGTGGCCCCTACACCCCTCCCCTGGCTGGTGCTGAGCTTTCTCAACCTCTCTGCCCTCAGCTCTCTTCTCTCTCAGCATGCAGAGCAGGAGGAGGAAGTTCCCTCCCTATGTTCAAGGGACCTGCAAGAGCAGAGAAGCACATCTTTGCCCCTGGTCTTCCTCCTTGCTGCCTGCTACAGGCTGCTTGCCCTGGCACATTTCTGCATGACTGTGCTGAGTGCCAGAGGCCAGAGATACCCAAACTTTGGTCTTTGAGTCTGAGGGTGATTGAAGGGGATGGTTATTGATCTGAGTCTTCAAAGGCAAAGACTCTTGGCTCTTCCCAAGTCCTTTACATGTTCTTACTGCTCTGGGCCTGCCCATGTTTGTCCTCTTCTAGATCTGGTTGGCACCATCGTGTGCTGTGTGGAAATGCGCCATGCCTGGGGGCCAGGACACTTCCTGATGCAGAATAAGAAAACCTGTTGTTGGTAGGTATGTGACCACAGACAAGAAAGGAGAAAGTGAAGCCATATGGTTAGAAAAGTGGTGTCCTCAGCATGTTGTCAATGGAGCTGTAATCAAATTATCAGAGGCTTTGGTAGCTGGAGGAATTAATGAGTTGGGTTTGAAACAGGACAGATGTGAAGGGCAGCACGGGAGAAATCCTGAAAGAAGATATTTGTATGGTGGCAGATGGTTTGTTGCAGGTTACTTTGTGAGAGTCTTCCCTGAGAGGCTTTTGCCTGATGTCTCTCCACGTTGCATAATTCCCAGGCACCATCTTCTTCCAGGGAGCTGTGTGGGTCTCTGTGTCCTGGTAATGCCATGTTGCCATCCTTCCTTCTGTCTGCAGCACTTGGCACCTCTGCTCCCTGGAGCCTCTTTTCTGACCAGCTCAGTTCCTTTGTTATTTCATGTTGCTTTTGGTCATGATCACGTGAGCCAGGTGAACATAACCTCCAGAGAACTTGGTTTCACAAAGTTTGAGGCCTGCTTTAAAAATATTTTCTTTGACAGGGAAGTATCTCTGTTCATCCTCCTTTTGGCTTTGACCCTGTCTTTCACAGTCTCCCTTGCTTGGCCTGTGGACACCCAGCTGCCAATTAACATGTTTTCCCCCTGTTTCCGTCTGCATCTTCAGCTGGTTGTGAATCCTGAATGAAGAGCAGCTGGGCTCACATGCTCTGCATTTCAGAGAGCCTTTTCAGGACTGGCCACTGCAGTTGCAGTCATACTTGCCTGTGGCCTGAACAACCCCCCAGCTAAGCAGCATGATGGTAGAACAATACTTGGATAGGAAATCTTCAAAGGAGTCCTGTGTGCTGCAAAATGGGAAGTTAGTGATTCAACTGGAAGTGCTTTTTAGTAACAAATCCATGTCCTGGGCCAGGGGTGATGTCAACGCTGAGGTTCTTGTTAGATGTGAACAAAGATGCAAAGCCCTTTATGCAAGAGCTGAGGTGGTAATCCAGATCTCCTGGCCTCAGTCCATTTGGGGTAATTGCATTCTTCCTGGGTAGTGTTTTCAACCCATCCCTGTCAGATACATTGCCATTGCTTCCTGTGCTGCTGCAGTATGTGGGTGGCAGTACTTCAGCCATGTCCAAAGCAATTCTTGTCACTGCTCAGGCTTAGCGCCTTTTGAGCCTTCTCTGAAAGACAGTGTGCAAGAGGAGGGACTTGGTCGAGGGCTTTCTATATCTGTATATTTACATCTACACATGCTGCTTTTACTGGGGCTTGTTCTGCTTATAAGCTCTCCAAACTAATAGCCCTGGTGCCTAGCTGGTACTGCTCCTGGGTGGAACTTCTCCTGGGATGCCAGTGCAGGTGTCATTAAGCACAAGCTTTCTGGCTGCCCTCAGGACAGTTTTAAGGGCTGAAGCCCAAGGGGGAAAATTGGCCATGCTTCCCTACACCCCGGTGTGAAGGCTGTGCTTCTGGGGCCCTGGCAGCCTGTCTGCCTGCAGTGCTCTGCTCCCCAGCACTGCAGCTCTGGTCACAGCTGGGCTGTGATCTGGTGGTGCTGCAGGGTGGTTGCCTATGTGAATGGTCAAGCTGGGGAGCAGGGACTGCCTCACAGCAGCTTTTGCCCATCCTGCCTGTGGCCAGGGGAAGGTCAGACCTAATCCTGGGGAGCCTGATACCATCCTGGTTTTCAGGACCTGCTCTGCACGAGGACCTAGCCCCCACAAAATGTGATCTCCAGTGGTCTACAGTTAAAGCACTGGGATCCTGGGGAGGAGACTTAAACAACATCTTTGTGATGGTGTTGGCAGGCTTCTCGTAGATTTCTATTAAGCAATTGTCGTTTTCTCCCTTCCCTGTAGCCTGGGAAACGCTGTGGTGTTGGATTTGTCTTGGTCTGTTTGGGTTGTTGGGAGGGGTGTCTCTCCAGCAATGGAGTTTGTCCCTCCCTGCCCTGGCTCTCTGTCTCCATGGGGTGGCTTAGCAGGTGGCCTGTGGGGACCACAGCCAGCGCCTGTTTTTGCAGATAAACCATATGCCAGCGCACCCACTCGAGTACAGCAGAGCCTGTGTGGTGGAGAGACCTACAGCTGTGTGGGTGGACAAGAACAAAGCCAAAGGCACAGAAAGGCCTTTATTTTCCACTGAAATCTGGGCAGGGATATTGTGGATGTGACCTTAGCGGCTCTCTCTGGAGAGCGAACTGTGCACCCACCTGGAGTTGTGCAAGGAACTGGGGGTAGCTGGAAGCCAGGAGGGTGTCGCTGCAGCTGGAGGGGAAGCCTCAGCACTGGTAAAAGATGTGGTGGGATCTTTGAGCTGGTGGGGTGCTTGAGGTCTCTCAACTTCTGTGCACAGGCCACTAACTCACCTGGCTTGGATGAGCAGTTACTGCCCACCCAGTGTTCCAGCTGAACCTGTGCATGTGCACTTGTCTTTCCAGGTGACCCAAGACAGCCAGAACAAGCAACCTCAAGGCCACACTGTGAGGGCTGACAGCTGACAGCTGCCTTCTCTGTCTGCTTCAGCCCTACACTGAGGTTACCAAGATTCAAACATCACTGATTTCCCTTGCCTCATCAGGGCTGTGTGAAGAAACAGGGAACTCTGTGCCCTTCTTCCCTTGGCTCACAGGGATAACTCTGTAAGTAGATGTCACCCAGGAGGGGTTCTCCCACAGCCAAGGTTTTTTGGGTGACTCCTGCATCCCACCTGGCTGTCATCATGGCACAGGGAACCTGGATGTGTGGAACCAGTGCTGCTAAGAGTGTTGAACCCTGCACACAGTTGTCAGGAGCTCAAGGGTGATGTGTTCTTGGGGACTTGAGGTCTGTGGTGTTTGCCACACTCATTCTTCTGCATGCCAGCAGGATTGAATTGGGAGCATTCCCAGCTGCAGGCCCGTGCTGTCCTTCACCTGAACCCAGCTGAGACTTTACCCAGAGCTTGTGGCAGATGTAATCGTGTTTTCTATTAGCAGCATTTGGGTTTTTCCTGCATTTTCCCAGTATTTTGTAGCTTGGTTGATGTGTGAGACTCAGAGGAAGTATTTCAGGAGGATCAGCAGTTTTTGTATTGCCATTGGCAAGAAATATTACCTGCTCCGAGGCAACCAGCCTGGAGCAGCCTGAGATGGCTGTGGACTTCCTGCCCTGTCCATGGATGCTTGTGTGCCTGCCTAGAATTCAGCAGTGCTTGCCCCACCTGCAGGTGTGCTCTCACCTGAAAGGGAGCCCTCACCAGGACTGTGCCTATGGCAGGGCAAGATGAACCCTTCTCTCACCCCAGAGCTCAGGTGTGATTTGGCCAGGAGAGATTATATGGGGGAAGACATAGTTTAGGATGCATAGCTGCTCAGGCTCTGCAGCTCTTCCTCTGAAGTGTCTGCCAGGGAAGCTGGGACCAATCCAGAGGCAGCTGGAAACTGGGCTTCAGGCCATCTCATCCTTCAGCCTGATCCTGAAGTGGTACCCACAGTGAGTGAGGCAGAGATAGATTTACCTGTGAAGGTGAAAGTAAGGAAAGAAGTCCTCTGCTCATGCCAGTGCCCTGTGCTGCAGATTAGCAATCACACAATGCAGTGAGAGCAGAGCAGCCCCTTTATCCAGCAGGGATGTGGCAGTCACTAGTACCTGTTCCATGGTGGGATTTTATATCTCTATTAGTGATGAGAGACACAGCAAAGACCAGAGAAAAGGTTTGCTCTCAGTTCTGCTGGAGCTGCTTGTAGATCCCAGTTCACAGCATCCTCTCAGGGCTCCCCTGCCTTGTTAACAAGGGCCATTTCAACACAGGGCACACCACAGAATCATAGCAAGGCTTGGTTTGGAAGGGACTGTAAAGATCCCATTCCAGCCCTCCTGCCATGGGCCAGGGGAGTCACACACTAGACCAGGTTGCTCAGGGCTCCATCCAACCTGTCCTTGAACACTGCCAAGAATGGGACAGCCACAGCTTCTCTGAGCCACCTCTGCCAGTGCCTCACACCCCTCTGGCATGGTATTGGATCCACTTTTCTCCCACCCCTCCTTGCTAACCAATTAGCTTAATATCTTCATGGACAGCAAATCTCCCATTTTTGTGTAAAGCAGCAGCTTTTCCTGTTTCTTGGCCACAGCATGAAGTTGTTCTCTGGTTCATATATCACCTTACCCATGTGATATCAGTGAGTTTATATTTAAGCTGAATTAGCAATTTTGGTTCAGTTTAGTGCAGCTGGCGGTAGTCTGGAAACGGGTACAACTTGCAGACCCTTGGACAGAATTGCAGTGCCTCTCTTGGGAATGGGATGGAACCCTGTGCTGGGAAACCTAACTACTGGGCAAAGTGGAGTTATTTATATCTTCAACAGAAAGCAGTCAGCCTAACGTCCTCCAGCCATCTCTTGGTGTGTGTAGGCTGCCCTTGCCCCAGAGTCTGACCAGCTGATGTAGCACTAGATCGTCTTTCCACTGAAAACCACAAGAAAATGCTGCTTCCTCATTCAGAACTGGAGCTCTGGGCTCCTTGTGGATATTAGCACTGGAGTTATGCAAGGAATCCCCTATTTGCCCTACCATCTCTGTTGCAAATAGGTCGGGCATTCAAAGATCCTGTTCATGGGAGTGTTGGGACAGCTGGATCCTTGTTCAGTTCTTGCTGCTCCCCAGAATGGAGCAGAGGATCATCTGCTGAGGCTATTTTAGGTTTCTGAACGCTGCCGGTGTCCCTCTGAGCTCCTATTTGTGTGCAATCCTACAGCTTCCTGCTAAGATCTGTGTGAGAATCCTGTATCCTCATGTGTGAAGGTTTTGCTTGGCCACAGTGTCCCAGGGATTAGGAAGAACTTTGAATTCCTCACTTACCTCAACATCTAACCCATATCAACTGTATCTGTGACTCCTTTTTCTAACCTTTAGCTCCAAACATCCCTTGGACCTTGCTTTGCAGATGCCCACGTGTTGCCTGGTGGGAAGCAGGCTGCAGCTTCCTAATTTTTTTCCTGCCAGAAATGTGCATCCTTCTTGTTTGCAGCAGTTGATTCCTGTTGGCTCAGATGGGAGCATGTATTGCTGAAAACAGTCTTTCACAAAACCTCTAGGTGTGGAAATACTCCAAAGCCCACAGCTGAGTGTGATGAGATCCTGGTTCTGGCCATCTCTGTATGGTTGGATGGCTACTTGCCATCTGCCACCACCATGCTCCAGCGTGGCACAGGGTGGGGCCTCCTGCCCTCTCTCTTCTCGGTACACCCAAGACTTTTGGCTTCCCTGCACTTTTTGGTTTCCACCTGCTCAGGTAATTTTTCAGCAGTGCTGAGCATTGCTGAGTTTCATGTTGAGGCAAGATGTGGCTCTGCAGTTTTGGCCCATCTTTATTTTTAGCTGTGTAAGGCATGGCTGATGGTATCAGAAGGAAGTTGCACGGCCTCCGGAGCTCCATGACTCATCCTGGATCAGGACCGAGGCTTTGCTAGCTTCTGCTATAACCCTCAAGTGATGTAACTGGTTGTGGGAAAGGGCAGAACAGAGAGAGAAGCAGAGCTTTTAGAAGTTTTTTGGGGTTTTATTTGCTTGTCTGCAAAGTTGTTGAATTTACTGGTGAAAGATATTGACAGGTAGCACTTCTGAGTGTGGTTCAAGAGGGTCCTTTGTCTTGTGCCTGTGTGAGAGAGGTGAAAGGGAGAAGAGCTCTGCTTACCACCCAGGCTGGCTAACTGTTTAGTGGCAGATAGCAATGGTAGGGGAGAGTTCTTAATGCAAGAAACAAAAGCAGGGTCCTGTCTCCAATTCAAGCCACAGTGAGATTTGGTGCAGCAGTACTGACCTGCCTGAAGTGGAAACTGTCTGGAACTGGAGAGCAGAGGCTTAGGAGATGCCTGCCAGGATGCAGCAAAAAAAGTCTGAGACCTCCATTCCCATTAGATCTGGCGCTACTGTAATATAGAAAGAGCTCCTGGGGCTTTCTGACCAGCCGGCAGCTGTGTTGGGCTGGACTGGAGAGGGGCTGCATGTCACCCCCATGGAGCAGGCCCTGTGGGACAGGTGAGGATGTTGAAGCATCCCTGCCTGCCACAGCATGAAGGAGATGCATTTAAAAAGGCCTCTGTTCCCCAAATCTGTCAGCATGGCTCTCCTGTGCCTTGCCTTGAGAACAGACAAGGTGGGGTGCAATGCACCTGGGTCCCGAGTGGGGTCCTTGCCCCTGAGGCGGACAGGGATGAGGGCTTGTGAGAGTGGGCTTCCACAAGTACCCCCTTTCCTTCCTTGGTCAAGGTGCTGCCTTTTAGGGGTATGTTGAGGCTTTTGGGTGTTTCATGTGTGGGGCAGTGGGGAGAGGACATGCAAAGGGGAACAGAGATGGGGAGAAAGGGGAGCATGCTGGAGGGTGTTGCTATGGCAGCTTGCCACAGGCAGTGTCACTGACAAGGCAGAAAGGCAGTCGGGCACATGTGGGAGGTGCCACAGCCCTCAGTGCAGCCCAATCCCAGCTGTGCCATGGGACTGGCACCCCTGGGCTCCTGCCTGACAGTCGGGCATCTGGAGCTGTTCTCCTCTGGCAGCAGCCTCAGGGTGAGTGGTCAGGGGTGTTTTGTTTTGTCCATATTCTCCCCTCTTTTGCCCTTTCCTGGGCTGTGGGCAGGCAGCTCCCATTTACAGACCTGTTTGTTTTAAAGCCCTGAGCTGCAGAGCAGGCCCAGCCAGGAACAAACCAGTCTCTTGATCCCTCTCACTGTACCATGGAAGAAAGCGAGTCACTCTGCTGCCCTTGCTTATCCCCAGTTAATCAACATCAGTGGCTCCAGCCAGGACTGCAGCTTCCCAGGAAGCCTGGCCCTGTGCTGTGCTGTTCTGTCCACCTTGCACAGCCAGTTTGCCTTGCTGCAGGGTATCTGTACTCAGGGAGAGCAGACACTGTTGTGACCCCTCTGATATGGTCTGAGACCGACCTCTGGGGCAGGCAGAGGAGAAGTTAAACATTTTTGAAGCTGCCTTTGGGTAGACCCCTTGGTAAGAGAGCTGGCTCCTGTTGGTGAAGGGGCAATCATGCACTCACTAGCAGAGGGAATGGGTCAGGAAGCCATTTCCAGCCCGGCCATAATGTGAGTGTGACTGAGACCTGACCTGTCATCCATGATATGCCTAAAGGCCTGGATGTAAGCCAGGGAAAAGGACCTGCTGGCGGCAAGCACAGCTTGCTCGTGTCAACATGGATGGCTGTGTGAGCTGTAAACCTCTCTCATTACACCTCTCAAAGGTCACTGCTGGCAGCGAGCTACAACACCCTGCCCACAGCTCCGTGCCCAGCCCAGAGTGAGAGGAGAGCAATGCTCTTGGAGATGTATGGAGGCTGGTTGCGTGAGCTTGCCATGGGGTGGCACACGCTGCTCTGGTGCCTGTGGCCAGAGTCTGTCTGGGACTAGGCTGTTCAGTCAAAAATGGATGGGAAAGGATGCCTGTGAGCTACCCAAGTAGCTCTGTACTCACAAATGTCATAATCCTTACCTGAGCTGTGATCCCTCCTTTCCAGGGTACAAGACCTCATGTATTGCCCTGAAAACCATTTCATCCTTTCCAGTATGCCCTGGTGTCCCTCTGTGATGTAGGGTTACTGTAAGATCTGTATGGACTGCCCACTTCTCTCCAGTTCTGCAGTTTCAGTCAT